ATGTCCTCTCAAAAGCAACCAGACACCGAACCAGTTATTTACTAGTAGACTCCCTCATATCCAGCATTAACTCCTGTCCTTGGTCGAAATAGTCTTTGTTCGATGTCCGCAAATGAATCCTATCGTTTTTTACAATTTCTTTGCCTATCCGACTATGCAGCCTCCCCTTCTTCCGACGACAGGTGAGCATTGGGGTCTGAGTCCGAATCGAACATGCCGCCCTTTTGTCGAACTGTGTCCTTCATTCGCCTGTTGTCAGCGGCAGCTTTCTTCCACACTAGTTCCAGTTCTTTATCGACGCTCCTAAGATACAAATAAACAATTCATTGTTCATATTCAGTTATATATACTCAAACAGTTTGTCAACAAAGCGCCACTCTAGAAACTCGCCTGTCAAAGCGAGCCAAATCGTTTGAATAGTAGTGGGGGTAGTATAAAATGGTATTGAAACACAAGTGGAAAACTGGACGTTTCCAAGTACGATTCGTGGGCTAGAGAATTTTCATCGCCAAATTGGAGGCAGAAAGATTTTCTAAGGAGCACGAGTCGCGCCCTAAGGGNAACAAGAGAAAATGAGTAGAACCAAGCAAACATGTAGGATACTCAGTGCCCCTCGGTTCGTTCAAATGGACGATAGCATTTGTCAAGCATGTGTAAAGTTATGTGCTCTTTGCACAACTGGGGTAAGGAAGATAAAGGGTGTGAATGGATGTATCTCCCTTTCGTGTTAATTTAAACTCAGTCGTGGAAGTAAAAAAGTAACTCACCTGCAGTCGAGAGTTATACTCCTCTGTCTCTAATTTCGTCTTAGCTTTTAAGTCTTCAAGGACGCTAAAAGAATGATAAGCGGAGGAGTGTTGATATTATTTTACCCTATACGTTCCTTGTAATGTTAACAGAGGTGATCGTGATATGTTTGCGCGATATTTTTCTAGCGCTTTCAACCGTAAAGCATGTTTTATTTTCCCACACTTCTCGGCACATTTCGTTTGTTCTGCCCTTGTTATCATTCGCGTGTGACACTCTAGCCTGTTCCAGGCGTTCGCATAGTTGAGGAGCAAAGTAAAAAAAAAGGCAAGAGAGAAACTAAGAGAGGAATGCAGAGTGGGAAAGCAAGAGTGCTTTCACTTGTCATCCTTATCCCCCTCTATTTCTTCTCTCGCCGGTGTACTTGCAGCTCCTAGACTGTTCAAAGCCCTTTATTTTTTCCTAATTTATTTGATCGTTAAACGCGCGGATAAAATCGCGAGAGAACTAGACGCCAGCGCAAGACGGGAGACTTGTCGGGGTAGGGGGTGGGGACCGAGAAAAATATATTCCGTTTGGCTCGCTACGCTCGCCTCCCCGCCCCACCCCCGCGTGCTTCGCGCTCGCTTCGCTCGCTTTTTCTTTCACTTGCGTTGAAAAATAGAGAGGCTGTGAACAGTGCAGCTGCTCCAAACTCGCGCACACCTGGAGCAGGATACAATGACTCCTTTTTTCCCGCGCTTGTCACCAGATAACCTGTTTGGCCTTTCGTGCGCTTCCAGCATTTTCTCTTCCGCACGCTCATAGTGATTTAAGTTCTCAGTATTACTTTATGTTGGCTTCTAGTTTTAAGACAGCCAATAGAAAACCTCTCCGAGAAAGAGGCAACTGTCTGATGAAGCATATCACCCTAACACCACAGCTCCTACCTTCTGCATTCATCCATTATCCTCAAATGTTCCTGAACTGACATCTTGTGCTCTTGATCTGCTACAACAGACTCGTGCTGCCGCAGCAGGTTGCTATGGGAACGACGCATGTCATCTAGCTCCGTTTCTAGGCGTCGCTGAGAGGACTCTTGACTTGAAATCCGCTTCGACAACTTGGAAACTACATGCAAGAAAGCAATAGCCACACTTCATAATAGCAAAACAACCCGCACTCAGTTGTTCACGAAAAAGGCAACATACAGCCTGGCCAACGAGGCAGAGTTTCTGAGTTATTTTATTTCACTTAGTTTTATCTTTTCTTCGGGCTTCCCTCGCCGAGATATTCAGGATGACAAGACCAGACCACGATCTACATATACCGCTGAGTCCAGTTCTGGCCATCTCTGTGTTATGCAACGCTAACATAGCGTTGTGTGACAGACAGAGTACCAGAACTGGACTAGACCACAATCAAACGTGACGGTTGGACAATTTCAGAGCAAAATAAACTGTTCACAGACTTAGTATTGACAATGTAACAGTCTCTGTGTCTCGATACGTGTGACGGCGGTCATACCAACCTTCCTGTCCGTGAACCCGCTGCATTTCCTTCATTTTTCTGTCTTTTATTTCTTGCTGTTCCATCAACAGAGCATTCTCCTCCACCACAAGCTTGGCCTGCTCCTGAAGCTGTTGCCTACAGAGGAAATCGGAGCGAGGGAAACACCTCACCGTCAATCAGTTGAACACATAACGGCCTGTTCTATGTTGCGCTGGCAATGTGCTAGCCTAACGTGTAGCCCCACCCGCCCCTGAGGAAAAACAGGGGGAGGGTACGGTTAGACGCAGGCTAACCATGTGCGCAAAAGAAAAAGCTACACAATTCCTGGCATCAATAAAAGTAAATAATTTATAATCGTTTCATACCATTCGTCAGGACCAAGGGCATCNGTCACGGTGTGATCGCAGCAGCGCGAACACCAAGTTGTGTCCAGTCTCTTCCGCGTTTCTCGCGTGCTTCTTCGAAACTATGTTGCGTCTTTGCTACACACGCCTTTTGTCGGTCAGGCTTCATATTACTTACATCGTAAGTTCTGATCAACTGTTCCTTTTCCTTCAGCCTATCGTCATACGCCAAGAAAAGAGGAGCCAAGAACTTTGTGTTCACCTGAAAAATGTGAATTGTTACAGCCTTAAAACTCCATTTGATCAATTACTAAAATCAACCATTTGATCAAATCACATCATTTTTCACGTACGTTGATTTAATCAACTCGAAGTCGTATCGTTTGATATGAACGTATTGCAAGAAAACGAGACTTCCCGAGAGAAACAAGTCTCGTCATAGCCTGTTTCAGGCTCTCGGTCAGTGGGAGCGATCGAAAAAGCGGGCGGGCGACGAGCGGGATCTGGGTAAGGAAAAGGAGAGGTTTTCTCTCCCAGACCCCACCCGTCACCCGCCCACGTTTTCGATCGTCCCCACTGACCGAGAACCTTGAACAGGCTAGTCTTGTCACACATGAAAAGCTGCATGAACGCTTCTATCCAACCTGCGACCAGAAGTTCTTTTTGAGAAGGTGGTAATATAATTTTATATGTCGCTTTGAGCGGTACTGTGTACCATCATTTGATACCTACCAGCCATGGGGCGGCTTCTTTCTTGTAAGGCAATGCCATGCCTTCCACCTCCTACAAGGAACAATACTAACTATGTTATAACTACAACGGTTGACTCAAATCAGGTTTAGCTCAAATCTTGAAGGTACGATACCTCAAATGACACCGGTCGATATTTAGCTTGATATCTGCTTAGTTCTACGTTGAGTCGATGAACTACAGGAAGGAATAACATAAACATCAGAGTTCAGTTACCATTGCAAAAGATTTTTCCCTTACGAGAATGCATTTTGGCCATACATGTACTTCTACCACTAGATATATGGCGGAGGGAAAAACCTTGAAGGGGTTTATTTGTTGCCAAAAACAGTGCCACAAAATAAAGAGGGACAGCAGGAATGTATTAAAATGAACACCAGAACGAAGCCGAAGGCGGGGCAGACCCAAGACAACATGGAGAAGGACAGCAGAGAAAGAGAGGGAAAGAGCTGGGTAGAAGACCTGGAGCGAGGTGCACATTGCAGCAGCCGATAGAGCTGGTTGGTAACAGGGTGTAGAGGCCTTATGTGTCACTTGGTATGAAGAGGATAGGTGAAGATGAACGATGGGGTGCTGTAATCTCAGCTATCAGTTTAATTTTCTGCCCGTTTCTTAGCTGAGAGTTCAAATGTTGTCCAATTCTCAGCTTTCTGTTAAGACCCATCCGGACCCTCAATGAAGGCAAAAGAAGTAATTATATCAAACCTGTATCCCGCAAAACTTTCTGTTCTTGGTGCAAGTCTTTGATTTGTTTTTGCAAAACTACGGAAGAGACACCTGTGAGAAGTGAGAACAAAAAGGCTTGTTAGGTCCAAGCCCAATATATGAATTCTCATCACTTACTGCCATACAGGTCTATTAATGATAGTTGTGAGAATTTGGTGGAAATTATGCAATAGCTACGGAAGAGACACCTGTGAGAAGTGAGAACAAAAAGGCTTGTTAGGTCCAAGCCCAATATATGAATTCTCATCACTTACTGCCATACAGGTCTATTAATGATAGTTGTGAGAATTTGGTGGAAATTATGCAATAGCTAAGTACTAACTTATCCCTGACACCACACCTGACTACTTGACAAAAAGATTGAAGCTGAAAGAAAATCAACGGAGCATTCAAACTGGCAAGACATAAAATAAATGCACTACAAATCTAACCAGTTCCCTTTTGGAGAGAAAGTGCCAGTTGCTTCAAAGCTTTGTTTTCTTCCTGTAGCGAAGTGTTCAGTTCCATCAAGGCCGATTTCTCTGACTCAAGCAGTTCAATTCGTCCTTTGGACAAGCGATAAACCTCGTCATCCCTTACAACTTGTACTTTCGTCACTTCTGCTTCAGTCTTCTTGATCGCCGTTTCAAATTCGACATTCTTTTCACGACTTTTCCTTGATTTTCTTTCAGATTTTTCATGTCCTTTCCTACTGCCTGTCTGCCCGCGTCGCGGACTCTCTTCTCTGTCATCTCTTCGTCTTCCCTCTGTTTCGACGCCACGTGAGCTATCCGAAGCATGTCTCCTGTTTCTACTATGTTTTCCCTCAATCTCATCGCGGTAAGACAAGTCTGAGCTCTGGCTTTTATGTCCAAGTCTCGCCTCATCAAACTGAGAGGACTCATCAGATATCCTATGTCTTGTTTTCCGTTCTTTGTCATAATATGAAGTTCTTATATTAGCTCGATCTTCTGCTCTGTCTCTTCTCTCTCTATCATAATACGAGCTGTTAAATTTATCTTGGTCTTCTCCTTTGCCCAGTCTTCCTTTTTCATAGTACGGGCTGTTAAGTTTACCCTGGACATCTCTTGTGTCCAGCCTTTCTTTTCTTTCACCATCTTTTGATTCCATATTCATGAAACTCATTCTTTCCTTCCACTGTGCCTCGGATTCTGCGTGTTTTCTCCTCATGTCTTCAAGCTCTTCCTCAAGCTGTCTTCTCCTGACCTCCTGTTCTTTAATTTTTCCTTGAAGCATTTCTTGGTTTTGCTCTAAAGCCTGTTAAAATCGAAAAAAATAGTGTGAATGTGTTGAGGTATTTTGCTTCTAGTCTGGATAACAGAAATTTTGCCTTTAACCTCTTTGAAGGTTTCTCTTGACTTGAAGGCTACATATGTAAGTCATGGGGGCAGGTCGGCTGTCAAATTTGTTGCACTGAAGATTGCCTTATGGAATATGTGCTCGTTTGGAAATTGTACTCTGTGATACGTTAACCTCTGATCGGTACAATTGCATCAATTCTGCAAAAGCCAATTCCATTCGATAGCAGGTTTCGCACCAATCAAGTTCGCTCTTTGAGTTTACATGACACTTTTTTGAGAGGCTGACCATGTCGGCTCTCTACTGTCTCAGTGTATCTTGATGTTAGTCTGAAGTTTAACAAAACTGGCGTCTGCCAGCTATTACTACTTTACAAGGTAAAAACTCTGACTGCATGAGTGACAGGTAGGGGTAACTCATACAACATCTTGGTGTGAACTCAAAAAGTTGGGAGGTGTGAACTCTTTTGGGTACGAAACCTCCACAATTCTTCCATCCTAGCAGGAATGGTACAAACCTTTCTCTCATGTGTAAAACTGTTGCTCTGTTCCTCAAGTCTTTGCTGTTGCAGCAAGTGCAGTCTCTGAAGTTCGTTCTCCTGTCGGCGTTGTTCATTCAGGAGATTGACTATTTGTTGCTCTTGCTGTTTAATCTCTGCCAAATCTTCACCAGCTGGGCTCAGAAGATTCACGCTGGACTGCAGCTGTTTTTGCTGTTCCTCTGGTAAATAAAAATGGGATAAATCTTGCAATTAACTTCTAGTGGTTGAGTTCAGACTGTTAACTAGTCAGCTGCATGAGTAGGTTTAACCAATTTAAATTACAGAGAAATTAGTCAGCGCCCAAAGAAAGTCAGGTCCACTGGGGTAAGTAGATTCTGTCCTTTAGTTGCCCGATGGGAAAGTTAAGTCTTTTGGGGGAAAATGTTTGAGGAAATTCAGACTAAAGAGGTACTGTAAGAGATGAAATTATTACGTTAATTTAAGAAATTAGGGGGGGGGGGCTAACAACAATAATTTTCAGGCTTGTACATCACAGTTACAGCTTGCCAGAAGGTCAATCTCAAAAATTAGTTTTCCAAACGCACCTTGTTAAAATTTGCATTTGCCACAATTTAAAGAACACACAATCTGACGGTGTAAATCTAAATCTTTCAATTTTGAGAAGCTTTTGCTGCCGTAGAGAGCTGGTCATTGCAAGATGGTTTCACAATATGGATCAACTAGCATCTAACATGATTCTCAGACAGGCTGAGGTTGCTCGCTCTCACTCTGACCTTGGACCACCTGAGTGTGTACCCAGCTACTGGTTGTCAAGATGAAGTAACTTCACCACATAAAGCTGGTTATTATATGGAGGTGAAAGTGAGCAGAGGTTTGATTTTATTCACAAGTATGTTAAAAACTGAGAGGTTGGGAGAGATACAGTGTACATGTAGGGCAACTGAACTTCCATCTTCCTCCACCTTTTATTCCTGGTTCATCCCACTTTCTTCGAGGTTTCCACAACTTTGTCCTCTTTCTATTGGAAAATATAGTGTAATGTGCAACTTTCACTTCTGTTTCTCCTGTTTCCCACAACATTGGAAATACCCCTTGCCACCCTTTCCTCCACTGCTCTTTCATGAACTTATTGAATTCCCAGGTTCCTGTCTTCCCCCCTCCCTGCTCTCCTTACATGACTGTACAATATAGAGACAAGGCCCTTGTAGTGAACATACCTCGAAAAAATGTTGTCCAAATTTTCCACTATTCATTTTTAGACACATTGATCAATTCATCAAGTTCAGGTCCCAATAAAGGGAAAAAGAAGCAGATTCTGGTCACGTTCCAAAACTATACATGTAATTGTCTGGAATTTACTAACCCTCAGTCAAGATAAAGCAAGATCATACCTAGCTGCCTGATCTGCTCACATAACCTCTCCTGTTGTTGAAGAGCTTGTGCTTGTTGATCCTGAGAATACTTCAACTGCTCCTGCTGCTGTTGAAGGAATTCTTGTTGCTGTCGCACTAGCTCTCGCTGGAGTCTCACATCTGACTCACTGACTGCTGGACCTCGTGGTGACAGATCAGCATTCTGACAAAACAAATTTTAGTTCATTCCTTGTCTCCTGTTACAAAAACTGGAAGCACTACTGCTATACATGCAAAATCCACTTTGACTTACTGTAAGATACATGTACAGTGTGGAGGTGAACATGTAGTTAATAATATGAGATCATCAACTGAGTGCGAGGGTGATTCCCTTAACAGAATCAAGAATCAAAAAAATTTGATGTATTAAGTTTTTCAGTGGGTCAGACACTACAGCCAGCCAAGCATATAACCCAGAAGATATGTTTCTGCTACAGCATAATAATAAATTGTTGTTTTGTAGTAAAGCCTGTGGATCTGTTATTGATAGTACCACAAAATAAAGTAAAAAACATAAAACAAATAATTAGAAACAACATGCATTGATATGGCCAAGGCTAGACAATCACTGCCACGCATGAATACAAAACAACCACTATGCACATGAATGAGATTTAGCTACTGCTCCAGATACATAATATTAAAATTCTCATCCATTTTACCTCATTAAATTCTTGCTGCATTTTTTCCAAAGCCCTAAGCTGTTCCTGCAGCTTCCATTGTTGCCTGACAACCTCCTGCTGTTGCTGTTGTTGAATTCTCTGCTGTTCTAACTGCTCCTGATACAGATGTTGCTGTTGCTCCACCAGTGTTTCTAACTGTTTCTGCCTTTCCAAAAATGATGTCTCATTTGCTTGTCTGGCTTCCTCTAGTCTCTGTATTAAAACTGGATCCATAAACCCTTGGCCATCGTGGCTACTTCCAACAGACTGGCTTGGGCTTGGGTCTCTTGTCCCTTTCACTGGCCCATGAGCAGCCAAGTCAGCTTGTCTGTGTCTTTCTTGCTCATTGAGTAAATGAACAAAAGAAGAAACTTTGTTAGCTCTCTTTGCCTGCGTTTTGAAACTTGGACGATTACCTTCCTGCCATGATTGCTCAACTGGGGACTGGAGATCCTCTTGAGGTTCATAACCATCAAGCCCAGCAAATGTATGACTTAAATCCAGGGTTGCCTCCTCAATTGTTGCTTCAGACACTGGTGCATTACTTTCTGTCAAAGTATCTTTAAACTGTTCCCGTTCAAATGTGGTCCTTCCGTTAAAATCAGTTGTGTTCTTGGGGACTACTGGTGACATACAGCTCTCTGAATCCTCTGAGACATCACTCAGTGCAAGTTTTTGTGACACTCCTTCAAAGCCCAGTCTCTCCACCACCTTCAATGCTCTTCTCTGCTCATCTGTAAGTTTGTTCTCTGGTGGGTCTGAAGGTACAGGAGGCAGGGGCTGCCCCGGACCATCCAGTTGATCCTGTGCAGATCTTTTTCCTTTCTTTTTACCACGTGTAGGAGCCTCTGGGCTTGAGTCTCCTAAGTAAGGTGGGATGGGGGGAGGAACCTCACCATCCTCGTCTTGACCAGCATCTTCAGAGACTTCCTGTATCGTGTCCGGGGTTCTCCTCTTAGTGCTTGGTCTTTTCCCGTGAGATGACACTCCATCGACAGAGTCTTGCCCATCATGTTTACCCTTTCTACTACCTCTAGCACTGTGTCTTCGTCCTCCACTTGTTGTACTCTCTTCATCGTGGCTGGTGACATCCGTCAACTCATCACTGCTGCTATACTCACTTACAGACTCCTAGTGTTAATGCAAGCAAAATAAAAAGAGCTTAAAATACAATTTTGACCATAATTTGGAGAAGCAAGCCTTACACTGTCCTGAATAGGCACTTTGCATAACACTGTTTCATGACTTTATCAATGTGCAGTTCCAGAAAATATCATACCCACCCCAAGGAAGGTTAACGGAAATTCCAAGGTGGAGGTTTCCTCAGGAAATTTGGAAGAACTAAAAAATACTAGATGTCAAAGCCTACCATCCAGCCATTTTTTCCTATAAAAATCTTCTTTACTCCTACAAGTTTCAAGCCTAATTAACAGTCTTGCAAACTACGTCTGTCATGCTCTTTCCATTTGTAGCATCCATTATAGCATCCATTATGTTCCATGGTCATTTTTACATGTAATAATTGACACTAACACATAACAGGGTAACCTAAAGGAACTGTTGGTGACCTCCTCTTCTTACATGTATTTCTGATCTCCAGGTATTTAGCAGTTTGCATGATGTCATCATGGAAAGAAAGTATAGTACTAACAATAATTTAACATTATTATTCCATTAGCATGTGTTGGACAAATTGACATGATACTGATAGCCAACAAGGTGTGTAGCACCAAGTAGGCTATAATCATCTCATATCTAACAAGCACAAGTGGAATAATATTGATTTATTAAAATTATGTGTATGCTTACTTAAGACAATATATGCACATGTACAATGTATGTACATCTGCATTCAATAAAAGTAAGCTTAAAAATTTGGCACTCTTTGATGACGACTAGACGAACTTTACTTCCCATACCTCATCTTTTTCTTCATCAGCCGGCTGTTTTGATGCACCCTTCTTTCTCTTGTCCACTCTAGAATACACTACAGGCTCGATGACTTGGCCATTCTCGTGATCTAAAACATGATAAAAATGTTGTGATGAGTTTTCCTCAGCTGTTGCTCCCTCCACCTCCTCTCGTGCAGCAGAGGAACCTTCACCTTTTGATGCCCTGAAGTACTTCGTTGTCTTGTCAAAACTTCCTCCATCTTGCACAGTTTCATAAGCTACTTCTTCGCTTTCCAATCTTTCTTCGCGATCGTTTCNCCCAGTCTTCCTTTTTCATAGTACGGGCTGTTAAGTTTACCCTGGACATCTCTTGTGTCCAGCCTTTCTTTTCTTTCACCATCTTTTGATTCCATATTCATGAAACTCATTCTTTCCTTCCACTGTGCCTCGGATTCTGCGTGTTTTCTCCTCATGTCTTCAAGCTCTTCCTCAAGCTGTCTTCTCCTGACCTCCTGTTCTTTAATTTTTCCTTGAAGCATTTCTTGGTTTTGCTCTAAAGCCTGTTAAAATCGAAAAAAATAGTGTGAATGTGTTGAGGTATTTTGCTTCTAGTCTGGATAACAGAAATTTTGCCTTTAACCTCTTTGAAGGTTTCTCTTGACTTGAAGGCTACATATGTAAGTCATGGGGGCAGGTCGGCTGTCAAATTTGTTGCACTGAAGATTGCCTTATGGAATATGTGCTCGTTTGGAAATTGTACTCTGTGATACGTTAACCTCTGATCGGTACAATTGCATCAATTCTGCAAAAGCCAATTCCATTCGATAGCAGGTTTCGCACCAATCAAGTTCGCTCTTTGAGTTTACATGACACTTTTTTGAGAGGCTGACCATGTCGGCTCTCTACTGTCTCAGTGTATCTTGATGTTAGTCTGAAGTTTAACAAAACTGGCGTCTGCCAGCTATTACTACTTTACAAGGTAAAAACTCTGACTGCATGAGTGACAGGTAGGGGTAACTCATACAACATCTTGGTGTGAACTCAAAAAGTTGGGAGGTGTGAACTCTTTTGGGTACGAAACCTCCACAATTCTTCCATCCTAGCAGGAATGGTACAAACCTTTCTCTCATGTGTAAAACTGTTGCTCTGTTCCTCAAGTCTTTGCTGTTGCAGCAAGTGCAGTCTCTGAAGTTCGTTCTCCTGTCGGCGTTGTTCATTCAGGAGATTGACTATTTGTTGCTCTTGCTGTTTAATCTCTGCCAAATCTTCACCAGCTGGGCTCAGAAGATTCACGCTGGACTGCAGCTGTTTTTGCTGTTCCTCTGGTAAATAAAAATGGGATAAATCTTGCAATTAACTTCTAGTGGTTGAGTTCAGACTGTTAACTAGTCAGCTGCATGAGTAGGTTTAACCAATTTAAATTACAGAGAAATTAGTCAGCGCCCAAAGAAAGTCAGGTCCACTGGGGTAAGTAGATTCTGTCCTTTAGTTGCCCGATGGGAAAGTTAAGTCTTTTGGGGGAAAATGTTTGAGGAAATTCAGACTAAAGAGGTACTGTAAGAGATGAAATTATTACGTTAATTTAAGAAATTAGGGGGGGGGGGCTAACAACAATAATTTTCAGGCTTGTACATCACAGTTACAGCTTGCCAGAAGGTCAATCTCAAAAATTAGTTTTCCAAATGCACCTTGTTAAAATTTGCATTTGCCACAATTTAAAGAACACACAATCTGACGGTGTAAATCTAAATCTTTCAATTTTGAGAAGCTTTTGCTGCCGTAGAGAGCTGGTCATTGCAAGATGGTTTCACAATATGGATCAACTAGCATCTAACATGATTCTCAGACAGGCTGAGGTTGCTCGCTCTCACTCTGACCTTGGACCACCTGAGTGTGTACCCAGCTACTGGTTGTCAAGATGAAGTAACTTCACCACATAAAGCTGGTTATTATATGGAGGTGAAAGTGAGCAGAGGTTTGATTTTATTCACAAGTATGTTAAAAACTGAGAGGTTGGGAGAGATACAGTGTACATGTAGGGCAACTGAACTTCCATCTTCCTCCACCTTTTATTCCTGGTTCATCCCACTTTCTTCGAGGTTTCCACAACTTTGTCCTCTTTCTATTGGAAAATATAGTGTAATGTGCAACTTTCACTTCTGTTTCTCCTGTTTCCCACAACATTGGAAATACCCCTTGCCACCCTTTCCTCCACTGCTCTTTCATGAACTTATTGAATTCCCAGGTTCCTGTCTTCCCCCCTCCCTGCTCTCCTTACATGACTGTACAATATAGAGACAAGGCCCTTGTAGTGAACATACCTCGAAAAAATGTTGTCCAAATTTTCCACTATTCATTTTTAGACACATTGATCAATTCATCAAGTTCAGGTCCCAATAAAGGGAAAAAGAAGCAGATTCTGGTCACGTTCCAAAACTATACATGTAATTGTCTGGAATTTACTAACCCTCAGTCAAGATAAAGCAAGATCATACCTAGCTGCCTGATCTGCTCACATAACCTCTCCTGTTGTTGAAGAGCTTGTGCTTGTTGATCCTGAGAATACTTCAACTGCTCCTGCTGCTGTTGAAGGAATTCTTGTTGCTGTCGCACTAGCTCTCGCTGGAGTCTCACATCTGACTCACTGACTGCTGGACCTCGTGGTGACAGATCAGCATTCTGACAAAACAAATTTTAGTTCATTCCTTGTCTCCTGTTACAAAAACTGGAAGCACTACTGCTATACATGCAAAATCCACTTTGACTTACTGTAAGATACATGTACAGTGTGGAGGTGAACATGTACAGTTTATAATATGAGATTATCAACTGAGTGAGAGGGTGATTCCCTTAACAGAATCAAGAATAAAAAAAACTTGACTTAAGTTTTTCAGTGGGTCAGACACTACAGCTAGCCAAGCATATAACCCAGAATATATGTTTCTGTAACAGCTAATAATAAATTGTTGTTTTGTAGTAGAGCCCGTGGATCTGTTATTGATAGTACCACAAAATAAAGTAAAAAAACATAACAACAATGATTAGAAACAACATGCATTGATATGGCCAAGGCTAGACAATCACTGCCATGCATAAATACAAAACAACCACTATGCACATGAATGGGATTTAGCTACTGCTCCAGATACATAATTTTAAAATTCTCATCCATTTTACCTCATTAAATTCTTGCTGCATTTTTTCCAAAGCCCTGAGCTGTTCCTGCAGCTTCCATTGTTGCCTGACAACCTCCTGCTGTTGCTGTTGTTGAATTCTCTGCTGTTCTAACTGCTCCTGATACAGATGTTGCTGTTGCTCCACCAGTGTTTCTAACTGTTTCTGCCTTTCCAAAAATGATGTCTCATTTGCTTGTCTGGCTTCCTCTAGTCTCTGTATTAAAACTGGATCCATAAACCCTTGGCCATCGTGGCTACTTCCAACAGACTGGCTTGGGCTTGGGTCTCTTGTCCCTTTCACTGGCCCATGAGCAGCCAAGTCAGCTTGTCTGTGTCTTTCTTGCTCATTGAGTAAATGAACAAAAGAAGAAACTTTGTTAGCTCTCTTTGCCTGCGTTTTGAAACTTGGACGATTACCTTCCTGCCATGATTGCTCAACTGGGGACTGGAGATCCTCTTGAGGTTCATAACCATCAAGCCCAGCAAATGTATGACTTAAATCCAGGGTTGCCTCCTCAATTGTTGCTTCAGACACTGGTGCATTACTTTCTGTCAAAGTATCTTTAAACTGTTCCCGTTCAAATGTGGTCCTTCCGTTAAAATCAGTTGTGTTCTTGGGGACTACTGGTGACATACAGCTCTCTGAATCCTCTGAGACATCACTCAGTGCAAGTTTTTGTGACACTCCTTCAAAGCCCAGTCTCTCCACCACCTTCAATGCTCTTCTCTGCTCATCTGTAAGTTTGTTCTCTGGTGGGTCTGAAGGTACAGGAGGCAGGGGCTGCCCCGGACCATCCAGTTGATCCTGTGCAGATCTTTTTCCTTTCTTTTTACCACGTGTAGGAGCCTCTGGGCTTGAGTCTCCTAAGTAAGGTGGGATGGGGGGAGGAACCTCACCATCCTCGTCTTGACCAGCATCTTCAGAGACTTCCTGTATCGTGTCCGGGGTTCTCCTCTTAGTGCTTGGTCTTTTCCCGTGAGATGACACTCCATCGACAGAGTCTTGCCCATCATGTTTACCCTTTCTACTACCTCTAGCACTGTGTCTTCGTCCTCCACTTGTTGTACTCTCTTCATCGTGGCTGGTGACATCCGTCAACTCATCACTGCTGCTATACTCACTTACAGACTCCTAGTGTTAATGCAAGCAAAATAAAAAGAGCTTAAAATACAATTTTGACCATAATTTGGAGAAGCAAGCCTTACACTGTCCTGAATAGGCACTTTGCATAACACTGTTTCATGACTTTATCAATGTGCAGTTCCAGAAAATATCATACCCACCCCAAGGAAGGTTAACGGAAATTCCAAGGTGGAGGTTTCCTCAGGAAATTTGGAAGAACTAAAAAATACTAGATGTCAAAGCCTACCATCCAGCCATTTTTTCCTATAAAAATCTTCTTTACTCCTACAAGTTTCAAGCCTAATTAACAGTCTTGCAAACTACGTCTGTCATGCTCTTTCCATTTGTAGCATCCATTATAGCATCCATTATGTTCCATGGTCATTTTTACATGTAATAATTGACACTAACACATAACAGGGTAACCTAAAGGAACTGTTGGTGACCTCCTCTTCTTACATGTATTTCTGATCTCCAGGTATTTAGCAGTTTGCATGATGTCATCATGGAAAGAAAGTATAGTACTAACAATAATTTAACATTATTATTCCATTAGCATGTGTTGGACAAATTGACATGATACTGATAGCCAACAAGGTGTGTAGCACCAAGTAGGCTATAATCATCTCATATCTAACAAGCACAAGTGGAATAATATTGATTTATTAAAATTATGTGTATGCTTACTTAAGACAATATATGCACATGTACAATGTATGTACATCTGCATTCAATAAAAGTAAGCTTAAAAATTTGGCACTCTTTGATGACGACTAGACGAACTTTACTTCCCATACCTCATCTTTTTCTTCATCAGCCGGCTGTTTTGATGCACCCTTCTTTCTCTTGTCCACTCTAGAATACACTACAGGCTCGATGACTTGGCCATTCTCGTGATCTAAAACATGATAAAAATGTTGTGATGAGTTTTCCTCAGCTGTTGCTCCCTCCACCTCCTCTCGTGCAGCAGAGGAACCTTCACCTTTTGATGCCCTGAAGTACTTCGTTGTCTTGTCAAAACTTCCTCCATCTTGCACAGTTTCATAAGCTACTTCTTCGCTTTCCAATCTTTCTTCGCGATCGTTTCGTTCAGGGACGCGAGCATCCCCTTCTCCTTGGCTTGCAGGTAGCTCGGCCGGTGGACGCTTCGACAAATCACCAATTAAAACCCTACCGATGTTTCCTGCCTCCCCCAGTGCCTGAGCGATGGGCGAAGGTGTTCGTCGAGGCCAAGTTTGAGTTAAATTCGTTGGCGTTCTCGGAACTGCGGCAAAAATGGCGCTTGGAACAAGTGTGGACGCAATATGGCTCTGTAAATTTACACAAAGATCGCGATTTAACGTTCACGGTCACATCAAATACGAAATCAAACCCGATGATGTTTACTTACCAATCCAGAAGGGCCATCTTTTGATCGTTTTGACTTCGACTTTTTCTGTTTCTTACCTGGCGCCATCTTGAAATTCCAGAGTGTTTATCGCATTAGTGCGCTTGCGCGAGCGTCTCCTTTTCAAACTAGTTGTCATAGAAACGAATGAGCAAGTAGGCGAACGAAAGTTTAGAGGACGCCGTATCGGTAAAGGCTCTCTCCCGTTTTTCTGATAATTTTTATTGTTATTATTTTGACCCTTTCGCACCTCAAGCCTTTGCGTGTCTCTTAGGCTTTCGCTCACCTCTCACAATGGGAAGTAAAAGCTTCCGACTTCAAGTGAATGAGGGATAAGGGGGACGAAAACGTTCGGCCATTCAGGTCAATACAAGAGAAGAAACAGACCCCTCGAACCATCAGTCTCCCGTGATACACTACTGACATCTGCATCTTTCATTTAAAATCATATGCCGTTGCCTGGTTGAAAACTTAATCCTTCATTTATCTAGAATTCTAAGCAAACGCGATAATTCTCGAGTGAACACGCAACCATTTATTATTAGGCTAAAAGAAAGTGGACTGGACTACATGTAGTTCTCGGCGTTCATTTTATTCAATCGACAGAACTGTTTCAAACTGAACAGTCCACTTTCTTTTAGACGAAGCTCCATTACTGTTGAGCACTCTCTCGAGAGCAAATCGGACCACATATTCAGTATCATTAGGCTATATATTTTCTTGAAACAAGGAGTCCCAATACGTCCGTGCTCACGTTTAGCACTCCTGAAACGCCAAACAACTTCTTTTTCACAAAAGTATGGAACTCTGGCTGCGCCCTGTTTACCAAAGGGGTTGGGGTGGGGGAGGGGGAGGGGGTCTTCTCGTCTCCAGAGTGTGTCTCTCACAGATAGCCGATCGCGCCCCCTGCCCAAACTCGAAGCTAGGCCTCATAAACCACTTATGGGCAAACTTTGATGTATCAATATTCTAGCATTGCTCCGAGGCTTTCAGGACAAATTTCTATATTTGGTGTTGTTTTCTTTGTATCCAAGTCTCTTTTGGGAATTGAGAGACTTAAAAAAAGCCTCGGAGCCATGTTAGTGAACATGGCCTATTCTCAAAAACTATTTTATTCCATTCATGAAGTTGAACAGGAGTAGTTGGAGTACTCCCAAGACCCAAGGGCATTTCTATTCATGGACTATCGTAAAGGCTGATACTACGTGAAAAACGTTTCGAGACACTAACATGACAAGAACCGATAAAGTAGGATCGCAACAGTGGACAGCTGTTTCGCCCTTCTTGGGGCTCGTCAGCACTGTGTAGCGAAGATATGTAACGCCAGCCCAACAGCCAACGCACATAAATTGCAAAATGACCCGTTCACTATATCAAGTTCCGTACTTTGAACTCAGATCTCTTGTAGATCCTACGTTGGCAGCGTTTATCGTATGCGGTCCCTTGCAGTTTCTGGTTTCTCACTATCGTAAACAATAAAAAAGTACTGTAAGTTATTGTAAGTAGTGTACTGTTTTGTATTATTGTAGGAAAATTAGTGTTACAAGTATTGTAGTGTAAGTTGCATTGTCTAGTAAACATTGTAAGTGGCCTATTGTTTATTTGGTGGTTGTAATAATAATAATAATAATAATAATAATAATAATAGTAATAATAGTAATAATAATAAAAAATTCAGGAACTGCAGCAAGCAACGCTCCCCGTACATGTACGTTAACGGGCGAGTTTCCATGAAAGGCATTTTGTGTAGAGCTTTCGTTGTATTAAACATTAACAATTTTCAAGCCGCTTGAAATATCGGATACTCCGTCACTCAGTTCAACGAACTTAGCGCGCCTTAGAAGGGGTGGCGAATGGTCCTTCAACTGAGACTCTGGGTCTCGTAAAATTTTAGTCAAATTTCACGGGTCTCGCAGTCTCCTTTTTTATCGGTTATGTGTGTCTTGCAGTCTCCATTTTTCTACGAATCGAAGCAGTCTCCGAGTCTCGATTTTTCGCAAGGCTAATTAAGGGTCTCGAAGTCCCAATTCGTTCCTTTATCTGTTTTTATAAATGACGTCTTCCGGCTTCACTTGATATTGAATTTCAATGAAGTGACTGACAAATTTCCGAGAAAAAGTCAATCCTAACTTTTCCTAAATTGTCTTAATTCCAAAAAAAGGTACAAAACCTACCGCAACTTCCGTTTTGGCGCCAGAGAAACAGTTATTTTTCTCTAGGATATCATAACGTAGTGTGTTATAATCGAATTTCCAGTTCCAGTCAGTTCCAAGAAGCTGGCTAAAGGCTGTA